TGAACCTCAGTCCATGGCACGACGTGTGGTTCGAAGGCTCCACAAGGCCCCTGCTGCCTCAAAGGCAATTGCTTTTACTGGAAGTCCACCCTCTCCCAAGGGAGCTACCGATGGTGGTAGTCCAACTTCTATGCAAGGGAACACTAGTAGCGGGAGCACTTCCCCCGTAACTCCGCCACATCCATTATGGAAGGCTGCACCTGAGTGGTCGCATGTCTACAACGTCATGCCGGCTATGGCGACAAACACAGAGTCTGTGGAGGAGCAATTAGCTAGAATTGCTAAGTCTCTGGAAGGAATGGCTGTCACTCTCCAAAATCAAGAAAAACGGCTTAACACCCTCGATAATAGGGTAGGAAGCATCATGGAAGAACAAGGAAGCCGTGCTCCAGGAAAGCAACCTGAAGGGCAAGAAGAGGTTGGTCAGCAATCACCACCACCTCATTTTAGCCATGTGGTAGGAGAAGCTGCTTCCCACTTACCTGCAATTGAGAAAACTATTCCAGTTACCGAAGGCATGATACCGGTGGATCAGTTGAAGGACTACATAATGGGGGCCATCAAAGGCAAGTTGGATGAAGGCCAACCTTCATATTCCTATGCTAAGCCCTACACACAAAGAATTGAGGAGTTGAAAATGCCCAACGGCTATCAACCTCCTAAGTTCCAGCAATTCGATGGCAAGGGAAATCCCCGACAGCACATTGCCCACTTTGTGGAAACATGCAATGATGCAGGGACTTATGGCGATCTGTTGGTAAAGAAGTTTGTCCGTTCATTAAAGGGAACTGCGTTTGATTGGTACACTGACCTCGCGCCCGGCTGCATTGATAGCTGGCATGATATGGAACGTGAGTTCTTAACTCGTTTCTATAGCACAAGGAGAACGGTCAGCTTCTTGGAACTCACCACTACTCGCCAATGGAAGGGTGAATGCGCCAGTACCTACATCGAAAGGTGGAGGGAACTATGCCTGAATTGCAAAGAAAGAATATCCCAAAGTTCTGCAATTGAGATGTGCATCCAAGGAATGCACTTTGAACTCTCCTATATCCTACAAGGGATTAAGCCAAAGTCCTTTGAGGAGTTATCCAGTCGTGCTCACGACATGGAATTGAGCATCGAAGCCAGTGGAGGGCTCAACATATTGAACTTGCCTAGCTCCTCCAATGCACCTGGAAAACAAGAAGTTAAAAAGTGGAACAAACCTTTTCCAAAGCAAGAAAAGAAAGAAGTGATGAATGTGAAGGCTACTCGTATGACAGTCTTCACTAAGGCAACTGAAAGGCCTAGGCCAAGACCATTTTCTGGCCCGTCAAGGGGTGGTAGAAGGCCGACAATTGAAGAAAGGCAGGAGAAGACTTATCCTTTCATGGATTCCGATGTATCTCCCTTGTTTGATGAGCTACTCAAACTTAGGCTCATTGAGTTTCCTGAAATGAAACGTCCCGATGAAGCTACAAGGGTGGATGACCCATATTAATGCAAGTACCACCGTCTTCTTGGTCATCCGATTGAGAAGTGTTTTATCTTCAAAGATAAAGTCATGGCACTGGCCAGGGATGGGAAAATTGAGCTCACTGATGCTAACGCGAGCTCGAATCAAATCTCGATCACACCCGGACGGTTCGCTCCGCTGTGCACTGAAAAGGAAGATGGGAAACATTGGAAGCGTCCACTCCCCTTCATTGTTAAGCACACTGTCGGTCAAAGTTCAGAACCACGGCGGAACGATAACACATCCGAAGGAAAATGGGTGATTGTCACTTATAGAAAGAAGAAAGTTGAGCATGTGAAGCATCAAAAGCACATAGTGAAACGTTGGCTTGAGAAAACCTCAAAAAATACTCATGCCCGCAAATCAAAGACGAAGGGCCATGTCAAACAGCCACGTGCACCAGTTCCTTTGGCTCAATATATGGCAAAGGGATTTGATCTTCAAGGAGCAGGCACTTCTAGCTCCTGCTTAAATACAAATGACAAGCCAGAAGATGGAGGTGAATGTTCATCTCCTAAACGCATCGAGGATGAGGAAGTGTTAATGCATAAGGCTACTTCTTACTCCACGGAAATTACCTTCAAGGATGAAGACTTGTTACTTGGAGGTACGCCACACAATCGTCCATTATTTGTTGAAGGCTACACCCGTGGGCAAAAACTCAAAAGAATTATGGTTGATCAAGGCTCAGCTGTCAACATCCTATCCCTCCGAGCTGTGAAGGACCTTGGTATATCTACAGATGAGCTTGCCCAAAGTCGTCTAATGATACAAGGCTTCAACCAGGGAGGGCAAAGAGCAATCGGCATCATCAGACTTGACTTAAGAATTGGGAGCCTAAGTTCAGGTGTCCTCTGCCATGTCATAGATGCGAGGACATCTTATAACTTGTTACTTGGAAGGCCGTGGATACATGAAAATGGGGTGGTACCCTCGTCTTGGCATCAATGCCTCATGTTTGAAAAGAACGGCGTAGTTGAAAAGGTTGTCGCCGATGAAAGCCCTTTCATAGAGGCTGAGTCTTACTTTGCGGGGATGCAAAGTTCTACATTAAAAGGAAAGTTATTGTTGAAGATATTGAGGAAAGCAATGACGATCCACCTTCCCAATCAAAGTCAAAGAGAAAACAAGTTGTAGAGGGAGATCAACACAACACAAAACTCATCTTCCCGCTTGCAAGGATTGATACACTCAAAACAAATGCAGCAAAATCATCCGAAGAGAAATGTGGTGATAAAGTGGGCCAAATATTCCCCGCCAAACGTACCGAGGGTTTCGACCCTAACGCTTATAAGCTTCTAGCCAAGGCTGGCTATAACCCCAACGAGCCACAGAAGTTGGGAAAGCTTATCCCAGAAGCCGGTGGTAAAGGCAATGCAAGTCACCAAGAACCTCAAACGCGCAAAGGGTTGGGATATGTTCCCCCTAAACTAGTGCGAATTCTTATAAACAGGGCTGCAAGTAATTGTATCTCCGCGGAGGGAAGCGAGTATGACCCAAAGCTCACTCCTACCAATGATAATGGGCAAGACAAAAAGAAGTCAGTCTTCGACCGAATCGATAAGGCGGACTCTCGACGCTCAGTCTTTGATAGACTGGGGTCAAGTCCTAAAGCCCTAAAGAGAAATTCAATGCATGATCGACTTGGAGCTGTCCAAGTTATTAAAGACAGTGCCAATGTTCCTGCTGAAGTGGAACCTCCCAAAAGGCTAAGAAGCATGATTCCTTCTCGGATGAGCCGAGAAACATATATTCATGTTTCATGCGGTGAAGTGTTGAAAGTCCAACCGAAGACCATTGTACACACTCGCGTACATAAAGAAGAAAATGAGGAAAGCGTAGGCTCAAGTGATGACGTACCACCAACTACTCAGGAAGAGGTGGCATCGTTGTTCCATATCACGTTATGTGATGAAACCCCGATTGAGGGGGAAGATGCAGAAGATGCACCCCATGAGTTAGAAGAAGGGGTACGGGCCGCAGTGGATGAATTAAAAGAAGTTGATCTGGGAACTCCTGAAAATCCTCGTCCTATCTTCATTAGCGCACTCCTATCTGATGAAGATGAAGAAATCTATGTCACATTGCTGAAAGAATATATTGATGTCTTTGCATGGACATACAAGGAGATGCCAGGGTTAGACCCAAAGGTAGCTGTGCACCGCTTAGCTGTGAAGAAGGGGTGTCGCCCGGTTAAGCAAGCTCAACGACGCTTCCGCCCCGAGCTCATTCCCTCGATTGAAACAGAAGTTAATAAGCTTATTGAGGCTGGCTTCATTCGTGAAGTTAAATATCCAACCTGGATATCCAGTATTGTGCCCATGCGCAAGAAGAACGGCCAGATCCGCGTTTGCGTAGATTTTCGGGACCTCAATGTGGCATGCCCGAAAGATGACTTCCCGCTTCCGATCACGGAGTTAATGATAGATGCTGTGACTGGGCATGAGATCCTGTCATTCATGGATGGCTCCTCTGGTTACAATCAAATCCGCATGGCGCTGGAAGATGAAGACTTAACTGCATTCCGAACGCCAAAAGGCATCTACTGCTATAAAGTAATGCCCTTTGGTTTGAAAAATGCAGGTGCTACATACCAAAGGGCTATGCAGACAATATTTGATGATATGCTCCATAAAATGGTCAAATGCTACGTAGACGACCTGGTTGTGAAGTCGAAATTGCGCACAAATCACTTGGTGCATTTAAGGCAAGTCTTCGACCGCCTACGAAAGTTTCAACTGAAAATGAACGCCCTAAAATGTGCTTTTGGGGTTGCTGCTGGAAAGTTCCTCAGGTTTACTCTTCGACACAGGGGCATCGAGATTGAACAAGCAAAGATTGACGCCATAATGAAAATGCCTGAGCCGAGAAACCTTCATGAGCTTACATCCGAAGGTTCATATCAAACCTAGCAGGAAGATGTCAACCTTTTAGTCGGTTGATGAAAAATAGCATCTCATTCATATGGGATGAGGCATGCAAGAACGCATTTGAGAGTATCAAGTCATACTTGATGAAGCCGCCTGTGCTAACTGCTCTTGTTCATGGCCGCCGGCTGATCCTTTATATCTCCACCCAAGACAGTTCTGTGGGAGCCTTGCTTGCTCAGGAAAATGACAAGGGGAAGGAGAATGCTCTCTACTATCTCAGCAGAATGATGACCCCGAACGAGTTAAAGTACTCCCCAATTGAAAAGCTATGTTTGGCACTTGTGTTCTCTATCAAAAAACTTAAGCACTACTTCGAGGCTCATACCATCCGGCTTGTTTCCAAAGCGAACCCGGTGAAATATGTTATGGCGAAGGTCGTTCTCTCCGACCGCCTCGCAAGGTGGTACTTATTGTTTCAACAGTTTGAAATTATATATGTGCCGCAAAAGTCTGTCAAGGGACAAGCCTTGGCCGATTTCCTAGCAGACCACCCAATACCTGATGAATGGGAGTTGTTTGACGATTTGCCTGATGAAGATGTGCTTGTCATTGAAATCCTACCCCCATAGAAGATGTACTTTGATAGAGCTTCGCATAGAGAAGGGGCAGGTGCTGGAGTTGTCTTCATCACTCCGGAAAGCAAGGTGTTGCCATATTCATTCACCTTGACCGAGCAATGTTCAAACAACGTTGCTGAGTATCAAGCATTGATACTTGGGCTCGAAATAGCGGCTGATATGAAGCAACTAAGAATTAACATTTATGGAGATTCAAAGTTGATCAAAAACCAAGTGTTGGGTCTATATGAAGTGAAAAAGGCGGAGTTAGTCCCATATAACAACTATGCAAAGGTACTTATGCAATGGTTAGGGGACGTCACAATGGAACATGTACCGAGGAAAGAAAACAAGCAGGTTGACGCCTTAGCCGCATTGGCTTCAACTATTACTCATCCCGCAGCCCGAGTGCGGGTATGTCAAAAGTGGGTAGTTCCACCAATCTTCAATGAAGATGGCTCAGTTGATGAAACTGTTGAACTCCCTACTGCTTCAGTGTATGATATTGGCAAAGACGACTGGAGGCAATCGCTAATGGACTACCTCGCTGATGGAAAGTTACCCGAAGATTCATGTAAGAGGGTGGATATAAAGCGTCGAGCTCCTCGCTTCATCTACTATAAAGAGACGTTGTATCGTCGTTCATTCGAGGGAGTCTTTCTCCGATGTTTAGGGGAAGAGGAAGCTTTACAAGCTATGCAAGAAGCTCATTCTGGGGTTTGCGGTGCACATCAATCCGGTCCCAAGTTGCACTTCCACATTAAACGAATGAGATATTATTGGCCTAGAATGGTAAAGGATTGCATAGACTATGCTCGAAGGTGTCAAGCTTGTCAATCTCATGCAAACTTTATTCATCAGCCACCAGAACCTCTACACCCAACGGTTGCATCTTGGCCATTTGATGCTTGGGGACTTGATGTGGTTGGCCCAATTACGCCTAAGTTATCTGCAGGGCACACATATATACTAGTTGCCACCGACTACTTTTCAAAATGGGCTGAAGCCGTGGCATTGAAGGAGGTGAAGAAAGAAAATGTTGCAGACTTTCTTCGTGTCCACATCGTCTATCGATTTGGTATCCCGCGATATATCTTAACAGATAACGGGAAGCCCTTTGACAACAAGTTGATGGACAAGATCTGCAAGCTTTTTGACTTTAAGCAGCGAAACTCATCAGCTTACTATGCAGCTGCGAATGGGCTTGCTGAAGCTTTTAACAAGACCCTATGCAATTTGTTGAAGAAAGTGGTCTCAAAATCGAAAAGGGACTGGCATGATAGAATGGAAGAAGCTTTGTGGGCGTATAGAACCACATACCGCACACCTACTCAAAGCACTCCATATTCTTTGGTGTTGGTGTGGAAGCGGTCTTGCCTCTAGAGCGCCAAATACCTTCCTTAAGGTTGGATATACAAGAGGGGCTTACTGATGATGAAAATGCTAAGTTACGCTTGGCTGAGTTGGAAACCTTGGATGAAAAACGTCTGCAAGCGCAACAAAGCTTGGAGTGCTATCAAGCTCGCATTTCTAGAGCTTTTAACAAAAGGGTTAGGACCTGTTCCTTTCAAATCGGGGACAAGGTCCTAGCTGTTCGCAGGCCCATCATTATCACGAGAAAAACCGGCCACAAGTTCACTTCAAGGTGGGATGGTCCCTACGTGATTTTAGAAGTTTACACCGGCGGGGCTTATAAGCTAATTAGTGAAGATGGTTTGAAGATCGGTCCGATTAATGGAAGGTTCCTAAAGCTTTACCACCCTTAAACTTGGGGTGTCAACACAAGTCATGAAGATGTGATGAATGACTGATCCACCAAAAATGCAGTACGTGGATAAACTGCTAATGCATCTCGCTTTGTCTATGGGTGGGCCCAAATCATAGACGCTCCTGGCCCGCATGAGTCTAAACTGTGAACGACTCTACTTTATAAACAAGAAAGTCATTCGAACTACGTTTGACTTGATCTCCTTCATAGGAGTACGTAGGCAGCTTAGAAATCAAACTATCTAAGTCCAGTCATAACATAAACAAGTCTAATTCATGTTGCAAGAGTGGGTTCTCAAGACAATCCTTCAACGGATCAAAGCAAAGTTGTACGAATTATTGCTAAAAGACCAGCACACAAATGAGAGCACTCGATTATCAAGAGTTCGGGAAACGAAACAACAAAAGGTCTTGCAACCAAAAAGAGAACTAAAAGAAAAAGAATATCAGTCGATGAAAAGCTTGAAGGTAAGCATGTTGTCTCTACATGCCTCTAAACTCATCTCCGTCTTGTTCAAGCTCTCTTCATCTTTTGGCGTCAACACAATCGACTCTTTGATGAGAGAGACTTCTTCCTTGGCATTTGAAACTGTAGTCTCATCCTTGGTTGAAGCCTCAGCGGTAGAAGTACGGCAGTCACATGCATTTTGACTGGCCAGTTGATTGGGGCAAACCCTTTATGAAATTTTAAAGGGAGGAAGCTAAAAGATACTCCTTGATATGAGTCGAAACTGCCGCATAGCCTTAAAGATTCCTTAGCACGAGTCAAAACTGACTCATGGTGGCCTCCAAGAAGTCATGATGCATACTGAGTACGACCTCAGTCTGTTCCGATTGTCCCTTGATGAAATTGAATTCACACAGCGAGGGTGTTAGTTACACGAGGTTTCACCTTCAAGTATCCATTTCCCTAAAGTCGGGAGTATATCAGAGTATTCCACGTGGCGTAGGCCAGACTGCAGAGTCCACGTCTTTGATGGCTTGAACTTAAAAAAACGGAAGGATTTGCTATCTAGGATGAATCTATTATTTCGATTTATCGAAAGTCCAGTCCTCCACTCAAAGTCAAGTCAGAAAGTTTGCAAGAAAAAAAGTTCAAAGACTAAAGCTTGAAGAAAATTATCATGAAAGTGTTCAAGAAAATTCTCATGTTACAATATATTTACACAAGACAACCCATATAATATATATTATATATATACACATACCACGTATATATATCATATATTATATGCGTGTGCACATATATTATATGGTGAAGCAAGCAATTATACACCCACACCACTATATAAAAGCATGCATGGGTTACTTATATATACACTCACATACAGTGGCCCACACGCCATATACGTACCTACACTACAAAACAAATGACAATGGAGTTATAGATATAATATGAGTTATCTATATGGTGGGCCACATATATATATTATGTATACACTCATGCTGGCAGTAGGGTGAGGAAACAAAACAAAAGCTTACATATATATACATCTGACACACGCAAAGAAGAAGGAAAAAATGGCAATTGCACACTGCCCAAAGCAACTCCATATATATCATGGGCAACCACACGTGATACACTATATGCACACCTAAACTACATGCAAATTCAAGCAACTACACTTGGAGAGTTTCATATATATGGACGGTGTATGTATATTTTATATATATATATATATATATATATATATATATATATACTCACGCTAGCAGTGGAGTAATATATATATTTTCACACTACATGCGAAGCTAACAGGTCATGTATATAGTATGTACACATACATATGTACACGAAAGACGAGGACAAAGCAAAATTGAATTGCGGATATGTGGTATTCAAAATTTCAAATGCTGCCTTAAAAAGAATGCAGCCTTCAAGAAAGTTATATTCACACGCAAGCAGACATGGGAAAGTGAGATGGCACATAGTTTCTTAAAATGCGAACTATGCAGAAAGTGAAGCAGATAAATTAAACCAAAAACTCATCTCGCTATTTTGCTACCTCTGTCGACGACCGTCGAGTTCACCGGCGACACTCTACTCGTCCAAGTGATCGATTCTCCGGCGACTATCGACAGCTTTCTTCTCCAAGAACGGTGAAAGCAACGTGCCGGAGCGCGTGCTATGCGACATCCCAGTAGTTCTCTCATCTGATAACGATGGCCGGTACTGAAGGTTTAACAATGGCAAGTCTCCGCCTGTTGCAGCAAGTGGCCATGAGGCCAGGTCCAAAGCTTGGATGGAATTTTCCATGCGACAGAGTCAAGCTAACGATCTCCGACAACCATCCCGTCGAGTGTCCCAAGGCGATGACAGAAATTCCGGTCGACAACCGCAATATTCTAGCAAGAAGCCATCATTTGTTGGAGGACCAAAACCAAGAAGGGCACTGCTGACTTTTTCTCATCATCATCTCTGTTATAACCGTAGCTTCCCGTTGTATATATTCACCACCTTAAGCTTTCTGTTGTAACAAGAACAATGAATGAGATCACTAAGATATTTTCTTTTCCCGTCTAAACGTTTCAATCTCTATCATGGTATCAGATGCTTCCACAGCGTAGCTTCTACGCCGCTGCCGTCTCCGGCAAGTCAAGTCAGGAAAGGCCTGCGGTATCGCCGATCAATCGCTCACCGGCGCGCACTTCTTCCACGATGATTCCACAGCGGAATCCGATTCCACAGCAAAGAAACTACAGTATGGAAGATTTGGACAATCCTCTTTTCCTAAGTAGGAATGATAATCCAAATACAGTTCTCCAAGACAGTAAACAAGTAGCAGCGATGAATTTTCCTTCCATTACTGTGGAGCCTACATCTGGAACGACTTCTGGCAAATTGGAGAAACTGATTTCTCTTCTCCAAGCTCAGGTCGGACAATCTTTGAACCAGAAAACCATGGCTGCCGTTTCTCTGGTTCCCAAATTCAATGAGGAACATTTGGCAAGTGAAGGCAAGTATTCTTCCACTCATGTGAATTCCATTATTTTGTCTTCTTCTACTTGGATCTTAGACTCTGGAGCCACAGACCATATAGTTTGCTCAGTTGATTTCTTTAATGACTATCATGTTACTCATGGAACTAAAGTGAATCTGCCAACGGGAGAAACGATTAATGTTAGACACTAAGGGAACATCAAGCTAAATGAGCAGTTATGGTTGAAGGATGCTCTTCATATTCCTTCTTTCAAATTTAATTTGATATCTGTCAGTAAACTCTTGCTAGACACATCTTATAAACTCATATTCACTTCCGGGCAATGCTTGATTGAGAACAATCTTGGGATTACAGTTGGTTTGGCTAAGCATGTGAATGGTTTATACTTACTGCTAAACTCACCAAAGATGCAGGATGTGGTTCATAGGAGCTTTGCAACACATTATAATAGTGGTGAAATTTGGCACCAAAGATTAGGCCACTTTCCGATGAATAAACTACATTTCTTGGATGATATCAAGGCCTCTGTTGTTAAAAATTTTGCTTGTGATGCCTGCCACTTTGCCAAACATAAAAGATCTCCTTTCCCTTTAAGTGCCACAACCTCGAAGAGATGCTTTGATTTGATTCACGTAGATATATGGGGGCCGTTCCCGGTCTGCTCACTGCAAGGAGAATATTATTTTTTAACATTAGTCGATGACTACTCCCGGTTCACTTGGCTGCATCTAATGAAAAGGAAAACTGAAGTCAGACAGTTCATAATCAGGTTTCATGCAATGGTTTTCACTCAGTTTGGTACTTTGATCAAGACCATTCGAACTGATAATGGAGCAGAGTTTAATATGGTGGAGTTCTATGCAGAGAAAGGGATTGTACATCAGAAATCTTGTGCTTACACACCACAACAGAATGCGGTTGTTGAACGCAAGCATCAACACATACTCAATGTAGCAAGAGCCATCCGATTCCAAGCATCTTTGCCTCTTGAGTTTTGGGGGCAATGCGTAATGCATGCTGTGTTCTTAATCAACAGACTACCTTCCCCAGTTATTCAGTTGGAGACTCCTTATTACAGATTGTATGGCAAAACCCCTGATTTGATGAATCTCAAAGTTTTTGGTTGCCTCTGCTATGCTTCGAATTTGTCGCACTCCAAACATAAAATGGCGCCAAGAAGCAAGAAATGTATACTGGTTGGTATGCCTGCTCATACCAAGGGATATCTCCTATATGACTTGCATGAAAAGATTATTTTCACCTCAAGAGATGTGAGCTTTTATGAGTCAGAATTTCCTTTCTCTAAGGAAAAACACATTCAAGATATGGTGGAACCACAGGCTGGACATTCAAGAGATGTTGGACCCCCTCTTCCAATAATACCTATAGACACTCTCATGCCTTATGAGCCCCATGCAGCAAACACTCTGTTGGTCCCGATAGGGTAGTGAAAATCTAGAGGGGGGGGGGGGTGAATAGACTTTCAAGCTTTTTCAGATTAAATAACTCTTTGGTAACTTCAACTCTAAGTAACAAGTAAATAGAGCAAGTTTGTACTGCACAGCGGAATAATAGTAAAGAGTTATGCCCAACTAGTAAATTAAGTGTGCAGGTATAAGTAAGTTAGGTACAAATGATATGTAATGTGACAGAGATATCTTGAGTATATAAAGGAGATGGTTCACTCAATATATAATGACAATATTCAAGATTGTAAAAAAAATATCGTATCACGTCGAACGTGTGACGAATGTTACATGCAACACGTCAAACTTGCTTAGAATAAATTAGTATTTAAGCTCGAGAAGTTTGAGTCACATGCATACGTGAGAACACACTAAACCCGGATGATTAAGATTAACTGTGAATAGTAAACGGGTTAGTCGGATGAGATAGATAGATATAGCAAATAAAGTAAGTGCGGTATGTAAATGAGAGAGGCAATTTATAGTGGTTCGTAAGTGGCGTAATCTTCCTAGTCCACTTTTCTCCTTTCACGTCTAGGAGAAATTCACTATTTTCCACACACAGTTACAATAGTGAACAAGTGCTACACA